TAGTTCTGTTTGTGTGAGGAGCAGTGTGATACAAGGGCGCAAATGGGTGAGCAGTAAGTGTGAGAGAAGAGTGTGAGGGTCACCTCTTTGATGGCAAAGGTGGCTTCTTGCTGTTTAAGCTGCAGTGTTGAGTTCTGTCTTACACTGTATAAAATGGACCAGATTGGATCAACTTAGAAATTTTTAACTGATAATGTACCTTACAGTATTCTACTGTCAATGTTTGTGAGGATCACTGCTCTGAAACTTCTAAGGAATATGAATTTAAACAAAGTGCTGGCTCTATGACCAACACTTTGGACTGTGATATGCAGACATGTTTCTGCAAGAAGTTTTGTTTGGTATGTGGAAATGTTAATGAGAAATCATCTAATGGCATTGATGGTTCTAAACTTGAGGCTAGCACAACTCTGGGATTGTTTGTGATGACTTGTCTGGGTTACGCTGCATTGGCAGTTGTGCAACTGGGGTGTATGGGAGCACATGCTGGGATCATCTGCATGAACACTCTGAATATTACCTCCCAAACTTGAGACATGTCTCCTACCTGCTTGCAGCTGTATATCTCATGTAAAACAGAAAATGTGATTTGTTGCAGCCAACTTCCATGTAAATATACCTACACCCATCACAGTGCTTAAATATCTGTAGAAATCAAGAGTAGGATTTTTTGCATGTCCCGTCAATATAGAAAATACCAGACAGACTTCTAGGAAAGGTACATTGGTTATGTCTTTAGTCTGTATACTGGTCCATCGGTAAGCACCGAGTTGTGCTATGGTATGTGAACATTCCATAGCAGATTAAAAATAGTAATAATAATAATAATTTGTAAAGTATATATTTGGGGGGGGACACACAACACAGATTTAGTTCTAGAGTTTAGTCTTTGATCAGCTTATGTTGGGTGGAATGGAGTGTCACATCAACAGGTGTTTTTTTGTGTGTGTGTATGGCAGAAGACAGAGGAAACATTTTACCATAATCAAGCCCATAGAAGACTTTTTGTTGTTGTTTTATTTTGCCTTTCTTATGTATCTTTTAATACCAGGGGTGGTCCAAGATGAGATACTGGCTCAGGTGGACTACTAATCTAGTCCAGATTGAAGATTTTTGCCTGTAAACCCTTATGACTTGAATTAGTTTCAGAAATCAAGCAACAGTAAGTATAGATTTTTGAGTGCTTTAATTGGATTCCAGAAGACGTGTGCAGCTTAGAGGCATGTCTGAAACTACGTTAGAAGTTGTCATTTTTATTGCATGTTTAACTTGCCTCCACACCTGAGAAGAGTTTGAGTTGATACAATTTCAAAGAAGTCTGAGGGAAAGGTGAATTGCTTGTCAAGCATTGGAACAGGCTGCCTAGGAAAGTGGTGGAGTTGCCATACGTGGAGGTATTTACAAGATGTGTAGATGTGATGCTTAGGGACGTGGTTTAGTGGTGGACGTCATAGTGTTAGGTTAATGGTTGGACTCGGATCTTAAGGGTCTTTTCCAACCTAAATGATTCTATGGTTTGATTATCTTTAAGCTTCCTCATAGATGTCAAGGGAATATGGTTAAAACATAAAGCTGTAAATAGCTTGAGACTTACGGCATACAGTACCTGCTTCTATATTTCATAGAATGGTAGGGGTTGGAAGGGACCTCTGTGGGTCATCTAGTCCAACCCTCCTGCCGAAGCAGGGTCACCCAGAGCAGGCTGCACAGGACCGCGTCCAGGCTGCTCTTGAATATCTCCAGAGAAGGAGACTCCACGACCTCCCTGGGCAGCCTGTTCCAGTGCTCCGTCACCCTCAGAGGGAAGAAGTTCTTCCTC